TGCCCTACCCCTTGTTCACCTATTTCACTCGAATCCTGCCAAAACATCTGTCCTACTCGAGTTTTGTCTAAGGCTGTTTTCTAAGCAACTTTTTCATCCAGAGCATACTCTTTTAGCCTCTTTCTTTTTTAATGATCCCCAACATGTATCGAGAGCAGGTTCTAACGAATTCACCATGTTTATTTTCCAAACAATTTTAACGGTTTTAACTAACGCTGTGGCCTTTTATAGGAGTGAGTTGACCTCGTAGTCGGAACTTGGTCTTGTTGTCATGGTAACTTATTAGAACGCACATAGTCCGAAGTCGTCTACCATAGTAATTGTCATGATTAACAGCATCAAATAATGGACATGGTACTTTTTCAAACGTTTCTTTGGCATAGTAGTCGGCATCATCAGTGAGTTTTGCCATTCTCCGCAACAAGCTAAGAACTCGTCAAATAGAGAAGGGAAGTCAATTCCATGACAAAAGTTATGCCCAAAACGGTTTCACAATCATTCCTCTTTCTGTCCTAAGACATCTATCTACCCTTTACCCTCTTATCCAACTCCCGCCCTATCACAAATTATGACATGTTTAAATTCCAACCGTCAAAATGTGTGCCCTTTTGTGGCAAATCTAGCGTGGCCTCATCACATTTGCTATTCATCCCGACAACCTCTCATTCGATCGGCTGATCCATTTCGGGCCTCCAATCCGGATCCTTTTATTGTCTCGTAGGTCAGTTCCTTATCTTTCTGGTTGACTGATTTCATTCGGTTCCAGGCCAGTTTACATTTTACTCAAGGATCTGGAGGCACGTACACTGCCGCCTCATTGAGAGCATAACGTCTAAGTTCTGATTTTCATGCTTGCAGATATCAGGTATTCCCTTCACGGGTCGTCTCCTTGATTAAACCCATCTTATATGAGCAAACTGTGGACGCCTATCTCTGGTAGCATGCGACATCTCAAGTGGATTTCTAGTACATTTGAGTTATAACGCCGAATTTTCGTGACGGTTTGCTTATCCGTCTGCCCAGTTCCCTAACTACCAGACCCCCAAAGTTGTACTGGTTTATTCGAAATGGATATCACTCACTGACAACGTCTTCGCTTGATTGCCGAAAACTCCTGCCCCCCACTTTCTTCATCGCGATCCATTTTCCTCCGGTTAGCGAAAAATCTTTGATCCAGGCGTCTCCTTTTTGCTGGTCTTGCTCTATTCTTGTTTTCTTCAAGTTTGCTTAGACAGTAGGCAAAGTTATCGCTAACTCTACCTTCCTCCAATCTCCTGTTCATTAGATTTTTCTCCCCACGGATGTCAATGGCCTCCTTTATCTTCCGCTTCTTTGTTTTTTTACCGTATGAGGCCCTTCTTTCGTGTACTCATTTTTCTCCCTGTTTTGACAATATATTTATGTTCGCAGGCGCCACATAATATACAGTAAACTCCTGACAATCCAATTTGTCTACCCTTTTATGTTGCTTTGGTAAACTTGTGAAAAGTGTTGATTTCTCTTTCATTGCCACCTGAATATTCTATTTAATCAATATTGGCCGAAGTTTTTTACTAAGTTCGCAGGAAGGTAGGCATATCCACTTGTGAATCCTTCATCGTCCTTGCTGTTCTTTCATAGTCCCTATTCTGCCATCGGCTATTCACGACCCGTATATTTCTTTGTATCACTTCGCTAAGGTAGCCATTGCCCAGGAATATCCTCAACTAATTGTCCAGCTCCTCGTCCCAGAATTTTACATCCGTTAGGCGTAGGCTTCGGGTGATCATGCTCCTCATTATTCCAATCTTTAACCTGTAATTGTGATAGGGCCGGAAATTGAGTATAATCCCAGCATAGGACTTCTTACTGCTCAATTTCTTTTTGAGCGTTCCATTATAGCGAATCACTTCAACGTACAGGAACGGTAACCACTCATCTTCCTGAACTTTCATCGTGAATTGATTTTTTTCATCAATCTGATTTACATACTTCGTAAACTCTTCCATGTGACCAAAGTGCTAAATAGTCATCCAGGTACCGCCGGAGCACTTCCGGTTGTTGCTCTGCCATCTTGAAGTTCTCTTCTATTTTGTTCATACATACGTTTGCGAAAATTGGTGAGAGCGGTCATCCCATGGGAAGTTCAAATATTTGTTTGGACGAGAAAAACTGGAAGAGTTTCTGAAGTTTGTAAATCAGATTGATGAAAAAAATTAATTTAAGATGGAAGTAGAAGAAGATGAGTGGTCTCTGTTCCTGGACGTTGAAGTTATTTGCTCTAATGAGACGCTTAAAAAGAAATTGTTCAGAAAGAAATCCTATGCTGGGATAATATTCAATTTCCGGTCCCATCACAATTACATTCTAAAGATTTGAATAATGAGGAGCATGATCATCCGAAGCCTATCGATGTAGAATTCTGGGACGAGGAGCTCGACAAATTGACTAGCGAAGTGGTACAAAGAAACATACGGATCGTGAAAAGCCGATTGCAGAACAGGGACTATGAAAGAACAGTAATAGCGTTCTACTAAGTCACCCTGACAACAAGACCAAGTTACCTCAATAAGGTCAGCCAACTTCTATAAATCGGAAGGAGACTGCGACCATACCAGAGGCCACAACATCTTTGTTTTCATATCTTCAATTATGCTATAGCCTTTTGTTTTTGCTTCCTTTGGAGTTAACGGAGAGAACTAACGAAATTTGCGTTCTCGGGCCACGTCTATTTATTTATTTAATCTCCGCCACTTATGCTCTTCATTTTTATATTGAATAATTTCTTTTTTCCTCAGGCTTCTTCGGCCTCCCTTTCTTACATCGTCGACACCGCATCTTCCAGATTTTCGCCTCTTCCCGATCAAGGGCAAGGCGGTGATGTTGGCGGATCAGCTAGTCTAGGCTCTTTTTCTTCTACATCACTCAATAAAACACCAGTTTATCCTCCTGAAAAGATTTATTTTACCTTGGAAAGTTGTATCATCACTTGGAACGACTCTTTGACAAGTGGCATCTCCTTTCCTCTTGGGCCAGGGTTAATTCAACAACCTGAGTCATCAGGCAACTGTTGTGTACTCAGTCCTTCGGTCTATCCCTCTGTGTGCCAGATTGTCAGTACCTCATCCGGGGAGCGCACCGTCTGTCAATTAGTATTCCCCGATCGTTTAACTGTACCTACTCGGCTTATTCCAGCTTCTACATCCTCAGGACAATCGTTCGCATCTCATATTTCTCACGCTGTCAAAAAGGTCTTTGGAATTTTCAATTTGTTCTGCTAATTTAAAGATTTGTTAACTAGTAAATGTATCATTTTCCAGGTTACCCTAAATGCATTTTTAGAATATCTATGATAGACGTATCGTTAGCAGTTATAGGGTTGGCCCTGGGGCACTCAACTCTTTAGTAATGAGAGTTGAAAGAAACATAATTTGCCTTAAAACGTGTATCCTGTCACCCGGCTTTCCACTGTGAATTTCTCAAACTCATTTTGAGTCTGATGTTTATCTTTAAGCTATATTCGGATAAAATGTTAACACCATCCAAAATGATAGGCAAGGCGCGCAGCCGAATTTCCCCATTTTAAATAAGCCAAAGCACTGTTTTTATACTGTCCAAGGATAAGTTGCCTTGGCATCGTGTGTGCCTTAAAGATAGGGGATTGGTGATATTTATGACTAGGGGGATACCAACAAACGTACATGTGAACAGCTGATTAGAACCCTAGGATTAGATGGGACTGTAACCTTGAGAGACAAGAGGAGTGTGCTTTACCTCATTCAGAAGTGGAAAAGGGAAGTGGTGCATTTTCATACCACCGGTTCCGGTTTAGACCAGCCACAGAGCCCCATAGAATGGAAGAGAATAGGGTAGAGATTAAAAAGAAGATAACTGAGTAATGGGTTTAAAGCCAAGAAAGAGAAAGCTGCCTAGGAATAGTAATCACCGGCTTTATATCCTCAAATATGACTTAAGCGAGGACAGGAATTGAAGGCTCATAAGCAGTCGGATTTCAGACAGCCAGACGGTGAGTTTAATCTGTAGCAGGGACCAGTTGACAAGAGAGGTAGAAGGGGCTAAGTGAAAGTCATAAGCCCTGAGAACGGCATCTGAAACCGGTGGTGAAGGTGCTTATACTTCACTAAATCTACTTAAAGAGACACTCTCAGGCGACATTGGAGGAAACTAGTGCGCATGATGATGTGAATAGGTAAATGGACCATTTGGAGTGGTATAAAGACTAAAATGGTGTGGCCTTTTGTGTGGTCGCAGTCTCCTCTCGTATAT